TCCCCCACCGACCCCACCCCTTTGCTCCCCTTCCTCTTCTTCATCTTCTGCCGAAGATGAGGAGAGACAGACGTTGAATATATTTGTACAAATTGTATGAAATACAGTACATTTAATGAAGACTTTTTAATTAAGTAAGAAAAAAAAAGAGTTTGGTTTTTTTTTTTCCTCCGACCCGGGAGAGAAAGAACATTTTCTCCCCCAAAAGCCGCCGCCACGACCACATCGAGGCTGTCCTCCCAGCTCATCACATGACCCGGAGCTCCATTTGTGTACAAAAAGCCATTTTTCCACACACAGACATTCACAGAAACAGACTTTACCAGAACTTTTTCGACGCCCTCTCCCTTAAAACTTCCAAACCCGCCTCTCTTCACCCTGCACCTGTGTAACAGGAACCCCCCCCCCACCACCACACCCCCCCCCACCCCTCCCCCACCACCCCACCCCTTGCTCCCCTTCCCTCTTCTTCATCTTCTGCCCAAGATGAGGAGAGACAGACGCTTGAATATATTTGTACAAATTGTATGAAATACATACATTTAATGAAGACTTTTTAATTAAGTAAGAAAAAAAAAAAGGAAATATGCCCTTGGGCAGCTAATGACGAGAAGGGTACGAGTCACAGCAGGTGGAGAGACTTGCCGCCGGAGGAGCGAGGAGAGGACGCCTCCGAGGAAAGAGAGGAAAAAAAAAAAAAAAGGCGGGGGAGTTATGGGAAGACGAGCGGAGAGACTTTTGATAAAGGCCAGCCTCGGGTTTTTTTTTGCCTGCGTGAATTGTGTTGCATTAAGTTTGCAGAGAGGCAGCGGCTCTGGCTGCAGGCGTCTCTCTTCTTCTTCTTTTATTTTATTTTATTTTATTTTTTTTGTTTTTTGTTTTTTATTTTGTTTTTTTTGTTTTTTTATTTGGATGTGCTATAGGTCTCGGGCAATTGGTTTGTGTTGACGCGTGCACATACACACACACACACACACACACACACAGATACACACACACACACACACACACGCACACACACATTTGATCACCTGAAAGACTTTCTTCCTGCCCACAGATTATATGCATTGTGAAAAAAGTTCCTGTATTTGTTATTTGTATGTATAAATCAGAGTACCAAAAATACGAAAGAAACAAAGATGTAGAATTATTTCCTTATGTTATGCAGACTGAATGGTTGTAAAAATTTAATAATAATCACTAGTGTAAAATATGACTGCTTTTTTGTTTCGTAATTTTTTTTTTTTTCCTCTTTGAAAATAATAAACTAGTTTAATCTCTGTTGACATGTTAGCGCTGTGGTCCAGAGCTGTCTTCTGTCTCTTTCTGTGCCGTGTGATCACTGACACATTTCACCCCCAGCCCCACCGACACCCAACCTCCACCTACCCACCACAACCACAGCTAAAGCAACACCCTGCCATTTCAACAAAAAAAAAAAAAAAAAAATTTAAATCTTTTTTTACCCAGCATGCACAGGAACAACTCTTCTGGTCAGATGAGCACAAACAGGAAGAACTGAAATAAACAGTGGCAATGGAGGAACAAAAATCAAATGGCAGGGTCAGAGAGGCCACTGAAGGCTGAGGGGGCTTTTCTCTCATCCCACTGACACACACACACACACACACAGACACACACACACACACGCAGCATTGTACACACACATCAAACATTCACGCAGCAAAGGACGATGAGTCAGGAAACAGCATCATATCAGCCATTTCCCTTCTGACGTGACATCGCAAATCATGTTGTGCTTTATGTGAATGAAATCATGATAAACACTGTGAGGAAAAACCTGTTGTCATGTTTAACTTAAAGCATAAATCAGTCACATCAGATAAAACAAAAGTCATCAGTAGAACTGCTGTGTGTTGCTTTCTCCATCACCTCTACTGCTGAGAAATGATTCAAATGTTCAGCTGGGAAAGTCTGAGGAACTACGTGTCGGTTTCGACCACAGCTTGAACCACAGAGTGGATGGAGCTTCCTCCATGTTTGAATTCAGGCGAGAAGGTGACTGCAGACTAAGATACTGTGCACTCTGACCACAGGGGAAAAGACCTGAAGACACAAATCTACATTTTAAACTGTATAACATGAAAGAGTTGACATTTTGAATTCTGGATATTCTGAAAGAATCCCACCATTCATGACTCCAAGAATCCTTCAGCTACTGTTGCGCCACTAAAAAACTGAAGTGAAATGTTAAGTCTTTCTCCTTTTTTTTTGTTGTTGTTGCAATTATGAACATTTCAGGGATTCACAAGCAGCATCTTCTGCACATTAATGCACAAAGAAGACCACACACAGCTGCATGCGTGCACGCCGCCCGGTCCATGACATGCTCAGACTGTCATGTGTCAATCAAACTTTGTACCAAACTTCATGGTAGTTCAACAGTAAAAACGTTTAGTGAGCACTGCATGCCAAAAAACTATGAAAATGTGAATAAAATTAAATCACAAAACAAAGAAATGAAGTTAAAGCAACCATAAAAAGCACATAAGACAAACAGGCTGTTGTGCAGAAAACTGAAACATGACTCAGGACAAAGACATTAAAAGTGAAAATTATATTTCCACTGTGCTTCTGCTGTTTATCTTACAGGTTTAAATGAAACTATTTGCCACAAAGAGTGACAGCAAATCAGAATTTACCTTTGAAGAGTGAACGACACTTCGTCGTCTCTACCTTTCGTTCCCACTCACAACTTTCAAAATAAAAGATAATTAGCCTGTTATCCGAATTGGTGGCGCAGATTCCGGTGACTCAAAACATCCAGGAAGTGTTTTCCCGGATAAAAAAAAACAAAAAAAACACAACAAATCGACATCAAGACGTCCAGTTACAGCCACACAGTTTTCATTAATTAATAAAAGTTAAACAGATGTCTTATTTTTTTAACCTCTGCCCATCGTCAGTCTCATTAAGTCGATCCTGTCTTATGCAACACACATTATTTGTTCTGGTAGCCATTGTTGAAATGTCGCCCATGGCCTGTAAAGTCCACACAACTCAAACAGACCCCCCCCCCAAAAAAAAAAAAAAAAAAAAACATTCACGTGGACTGTTGCTAACTGCATTTCCAATATCGGAATATATTTGCACAAGTGGAATGCCAAATCCGCCTCCCTGCAGAAAAGGCCATACAGAAGTCAGGTATTTGGCATCATTTGTTTCTGAGCCGCTGTGACCAATCAGGAGATTTGCTCCTGTGTTTTAATAGTGAGGTCAAGGGGGCATGTGGAATGAGAATGGGAATAGTGTGTGTGTATGTGTGTGTGTAGAGAGGGAGGGATTGAGGAAAGCTTTGCCCCGTGGTGGGACCCCATGGCCCCTGGCTGACCTTTTCTCCCTCTGGTGTTCGGCTGTGGACGTCTGCCAAGGGTGACTGGATGTGCAGCGACTGGCTCGCAGGTGAGGACGAATGTGGCCTCTGCGTGATCTCTTCTCCTCTTTCCTCCATCATCATCGCCATCGTCGTCGTCACCGTCGTCGACACGAACCACTTATTTCTGTCTCTCCTGCGTCCGTCCGTCCGTCTCTCTCTCTCTTCCTGCGTCTGCCTCTCGTCTTTCAGGTGAGGATGATGACAGATTTGTGGCTGTAATCGGCTCTCGGGAATAGTCCATCTTCATCCAGGCAACGTCGCTGTCGCCGTCTGCAGAGGTCAGGTCAAATTAGGGGTCACCATCATGGAGGAATTTGGCGATAAAATGACATTTAAAATTGCAACATTTGTCACTTGAAATCATTAAAAAAAAAAGCTGTTTTAGTTCATGCAATATTATAATTCTAACAAAACATGAATGAAGGAAAACATAAAGAAATGAAAATGACCCCTTTGATGACAAGGGTGTATGTGGGAATTTTGCATTTTCAAAGTAAACAGAGAGAGAAAAAAATCACTTCATACCAATTCCCCACGGTGCTAAAAATGCTCGACATTACACCACAGGAAGTAGAAACTTGTTTGCACAGGATATGTTATTTCTTTCATCACATGTTTCTTTACGCTACGAATGGTTTCTGTCAAACATTTCATCTCCTGGTTGAGGCGTGGTACGGTTTCTTTTCACATACAAACATAGAGTAATATTGGTTTTGAAGGACGGAGCGATCTGTGTCAGTGTGGTCACATGTGGGGGAGCAGGTCGAGTGTTGTGGGTTAATGATTTCTTTCCAGTTACACAATTCAAACCCAAATGAAATATGTCTAGAGCTGTCTGCATGTCTGTTACAGTAGTTTGTACTAATAAAGACATTAATGAGCTGATAGAAACAAAGCACCTTTATCATTTATCTAACACCTTACTGCATGCTAATATAATTATCATTAACTTACTTTAGTGCAAGTATTTTCTCCAAGCCAATATACCAAGCCAGTCTGTATGACACGTGTTAAAGGAATAGTTCGCAATTTTGCTTTCTTGCTGAGAGTTAGACAAGAAGATTGACACCACTCTCATGTCTGTGCATCAAAGACAAAGCTGTAGCCAGAAGCTGGTTAGCTTAGCTTAGCATAAAGACTGGAAACAGAGGGAAACAGCTAGCCTGGCTCTGTCGAAAGGTTAAAAAAAAATCTGCCTATCAGCACCTCTAAAGTTCACTTGTTAAAGGAGCTATTTTATAGCTTTATATTTTATAGTTTTGCTATCGCTACATAGCTAAAATTAGCATTAGCAGCTGTTTACTTACCAGTCTAGAAGAAACGTTGCAAGTTCCGTATCAAACTTCACTCCTTTATCACTGGTTGAAAGCAACCCCCATGTTTTGCTTCTATTTCTATAACTTTTTTTCTTCTACTGAAGTTAGCATGCTAACCAGCTAGCTCTGGCCCGGTTAGCCGGTCTCGTCACTTTCCGATACTGAGTCACTGTAGCGTCCAGTCTGCTCTGAAGACGTAGTGCTTCTCAGAGGACGTATTATAACCTCTGGTCTTTTAAACACAACGTTAGCAAGACAAGCTATAGCTCGTTTATTTACGCCTTAGACAAACTGAAATCACTGCTGATTAAACAAACTACGTAATTAGTGAGCTTTAGATGTGCTGGTATGCAGATTTATTACCTTTGTGCAGAGCTAGGCTAGCTGTTTCCCCCTGGTTCCAGGCTTTATGCTAAGCTAAGCTAACTGGAAACTGCCTGTAGCCTGTAGACAGTCGTATTAATCTTCTCATCTAACTCTCAGCTAAAATGTCAAACTGTTACTTAAGCACATAATATCAAGTGGATCAAAAAGCAAAAAATTCTGCTGTGAAATTAAATATAAATGAAATATTTTGCTCATGTTTCCTTATATCATAGAAGTATTGTTGCGACACATGAGATAATAAACTACTCTGAAATGTGTTGTTGCTATAACTTCACTTTTAAACTCTCTGCCGGGGCACTATATTTATTTTATAGAAACCCAAGGCTAAAAATAAAGGTATTGTAAAGGTATTTTGAGCTGTATAGTGAACCTACATTGACAGTGAGCTCGTCTACTGTGGTCTGGCTTATCTTTTATCTCCTATGATATCACTTTGATACCCATACAGTATAGCATCATCTAAATTTGTTATAGGATTTGTATAGTCCTTTTTGAAAGTAAGTGGCTGTTGTTATTCTTATCCTTTTCCTTTGTTTTCCAAAGACCTCGAGCCTGAAACATGAGGGATGAGCTGTCGCG